AGTGTGGTCTCCTTCGTGTTGGGGGGGGGGGGGGGGGGTGAAGGGCTTCATTTTTTATTTTTTAGGTCTCTTTTTTTAGTTAGTTTTTTTTTTAACCTAACGAGCCCCCTACAGGGGAAGGAACAGGTCATCTTTATGGAGACATCAGGGGCATTTATTCTTCTCCGGCCATTGCTGCCAGAGAAATGACAGGCTGAAACCCGGATGGGACTAAATAATCGGCGCTTCCTGGTTCAGTAGCAGAAGATCAGACCCTGGAAGTATGCTGATCTCCCTCTGAACAAGCCATACACACCCACCTTGTTGGTCTCTCTATAGCAATGTACAAGTGATTGGGAGGCTCCATCCATAGCCACCCAAAATCACATGCATGTGAAAGCTGGGTGCAGACTGAAAACAATACCAAGATTGTGGCTACTGGAGTGTATGTATGTATGTAACACACAAAAAAAACATTTTAAAAAACGCATATAAAAACACATCTAAAAACACATCTAAAATTGCACCTAGCGTGAATGTAGTCATGGACTTGCTATCCTAAAACTACCGCTATTCTTATTAACCTTTAGTTTCTAGGAGGCGTCTATTGTGAAGAGCAAAAAGGGGGAGCTGTTCCAGGTAAAGGGGGGAAAAACATGGTGTCATTATTCAAAAACACTGGCTCATGGGAAGAAACACCTTTACTAAGTAAATATGAATGTCATGTGCTAAAATAATAATCCTGCACTAATAAAATCAGCTTTGTTGCTTAGGCTTTATGGTACAAAATTCACACGATTAAAAGAAGCACATATAAATACACTAATGTGACCGTAGTAATATGAAGTAGAGCCTGCATGAAAGTGTGCATGGAATTACTGAAACCAAAAGCAGGCAGGTAACTACTATGTTCAGAATGAGGCCAGGAATGAAACTGCATGAGCTCTTAAAAGTTAAAGAAACAACTAAATTGGATTTAAAAAGTGCTGGTAGGTGGTCCAAATGTATGTTGCAATGCAGTGTGGGAAAAACGTGAATGGCATAGCCTTGTTTTAAAGAGAATGGTGCAAGAATCTACAATCAACTCTTCTTTAGGAATAAAAACATCAGATCCAAGAAGATTTTCTGCAGCACAAAATCTGCTCTTCCCTTTCCTACTACAGTGCTTCTAGGTTTCCTGGCAACCCAATCTATTCTGAGGAATACATCTTTGTATTGTATGCGTTGGCTGTTAATCAACCGATTTCATGCTCATTACCGCAACCAACAGTCTAGGACTGTGACAGTACTTTCTATATCACAGTGCTTTCCAATAGTGCAGCCAACAGTAATGCTTTAGTAAGCAGGGAGATAAGCAGTGTACTAGCAGAAGTGTAGGCAAAATGCTGGGCATATGAACAATACTAAAGAAGTGTCCTTGCAGGCAGTATGCACAGAAGTGAAGTGTGGAGGATATGATGGGACACTATTTGCTGGAGTGGAATGCAGGTGATGCAACAAGCAATATATGCAGGAAGGGAGTGTGGAGGGTATACCATTGGGCAGTATGAGTAGAAGGGTGCAGAGGGTATGACAAGGTCAGTGCGGCCTGGAAAGAATTGAGGGGATAGTATTGGCAGGGGGGGGGGGAGGTGGTGTAGATGCTGTTATGAAGCATTATGTGGGGGTGTGCAATATGATTGGGGGGGTTGCGATACGTGCAGGAAAGAAGTGTAGGGGTCATGAGTGGGCAGAAGAGTGATGGGCTAGCTCACACCAGAACGGCATGCATCTGCGCAGCTGAAATGTGATGCGTTTTGCCGCAATTGTACAGCGATTTAGTTTTTTGGGGGGGTTGCTTAAAATGGGATTTCAGGTGCGTTCGTGCGTTTTTGATGCATTCCCATGCAGCTAAAATAGGGCAAGCGGTATTTTATCTGACCGCATCGGAACGGACTGCACTGGTGTAAATAGAACACCAGAAATCCCATAGGAAAGCATTGTGATGTATCTTTGCTGCAGCAGCCAAACTTAACGGACTGCATCACAACTGCATCTAGTGTGAACTAGCCCTTAAGTTCATTTTTGGCAAGTTCCTCATCCAACAGGAGGCCAGCTTGTTTCTGTAGATTTATACCAGTCAAAATGTTATATCCAAGCTAATCTCTTAAATGGTAACGCCAGCATCCAAGGGTTATGGGATACACGGTTCTTGCAAGTTCTGTTATAATTTCCACTGCATGGCAACCTCCACGCATCATCAGCCAAAAGGGTCAATTCACACCCAGTCAATTATTTCAGCCATAGTTTGACTCTGGTGAACTGAAGTCATCAACTGGCATCCTAATTTAGTGAAGCCACCAGAAACATCTTCTGGCCCGAGTTATTCCATGCTAGGAACTCACTACCACTTTCTCAGTAATTATTCTCATAAATACAGATTACGGTATATAAAACCCACCGGGGAGCCGAATACTGATGGGAGATGAGCAGACCAAGCCGGAATTTCATTTTCACTTTCAGAGTCCTCAATAGATAAAAGTATCCAGTGGGAAATAAAAATCAGAATTTCCCCCAAACATGTTTCTTCCAGAGAAAAATTACCCTTTAGGCACCAAAGGATTAAGTCCAGGCTTGGACTAGTGTTGCTTGGACTAAAATTGGTCTTTCATTCGGTAATGAAACCAATCAGTTTGTAAGAACCACTAAAATATCAGTCTCTGAAAACAATGACACATCATTCTTACAATGCCAAAGAAAAATTGGGAATGGGCTCAGGAAGCCTTCTTCCAATCATGGTACCCCAGGGTTATCTGCTGTGTTCAACTTTTACTCAGACATCGTACGCATCTGGGACTTGCACACATGGGCAATTTCACAGCACATTCCTAGCGAATGCCAAGCAGTCAATACACCATATTCACAGTTTGAACACTTGTAAAACAAGTAATCACAATAAAATTTGTTTTATTTTCTCATTAGTTTCTTGGCAAACATTACACAGCCTGAGTTACAAATTGCAGTCATATTTAGGGATTGCTAAAATGATAGTCCCCCATTTCACAGCTTTATCCAGGTGATTTACCAAAGTCTCTCAAACACACAGACAAAATTTCCATGAGCACATACGAACCTGCAGCGGATCAGGCTGAGAAAGAAAAAAAAAAACAAAACAAAAAAAAAAAAAAAAAACCACACAAGCAGGACTTGCAACAGAAGGCACAATAAGGCTCTTGGAAAGATCCATCTTGCCACACATCTCTGTTGCACTGTGGGTTATGAGTGGGGGGTTGGGGAGTTGGGCTGCCACATCTCTGACAATGAGCAAAATTGGCCATTTTCATATTGCACATTCCCTGTGATCTGCCATACCCCAATTCCAACTTTTACCTAAATGCTGACTAGAAAAAAAAAAATTTGTAAGCATTTTGGACTCCTCACACCATTACAAACTAGATCAGTCATTTCATTTTGGTATGACAAATTCTGCTGCGGGATGTGCGTTGGGGTGCATTCATTTCAATGGCACCCCAAA